GCGCATCGGCCACGCTGACGAGATGATGCTATGTCACGACGTGCTTTGGCAGGAGCTTGCAAAGACCAACTGCAAGCACAAGCTGCGCAAGACTTCCATGGCTAGCCTTTTTCCCACTGGCCCTAGACCTCTGATTCGTAGATGGAAGCAACAAGATCTGTCGCAAAGTGAATATGAAGCGTATACCGCGGAGTTTCACGTGCCAGATGGTGCTGCTATCGTCCCAGATGACAAGGCAAAAAAAGTCGCATGGATCATGCCGGCAGTTTCCTACATTCTGCTTTGCATGGTTTTTGCCGACGCCGCAGACTCGTGGAAGAGGAGCGACATAGACATGAGTTCTGCAAATGAGTGGCTTTGCAACGTCGTCATGGCCGTTTTAGGGGCAAAGCTGGCAAGCAAATTTCGGATCACCTCGGCCTCATGGTTATTGCCGTACTCGTATGCCAGCATCAAGGAAAAATGCTGGCAGAACGGTCTGCGTGTCTGCTTCAAGGGGCTCATGTGTGAGAAAGATCGTCTCGTACGCACGCCGGGAAAGAAAGCTTGTCTGGCGTTCAGTGCACAAGGCCTGGGATGTCATTCTAAAATCCTCAGGCTGCACACGTGATGTTTGGAGCCTGCATGATGCGAGCGCCAGATTAAAACGAGGCCTTGTACATCTCTGCCCCAATCACAGCGGCAGATGCCACCGATGTAGTTCTTACCTGCCGAGTTGTGCTGGTATCGTGGCTGATGCAGGTCAGTTCTTCGAAGCTGTTATGTCGCTACGGCGATTGGCGAAGCTTGTGAGCTGTTGGAGGTGTTCGGCGACGGTCATATTTCTGTCCTGTGGTCACGAAAGAAAAGAGGATGGATCGGCGGCAAGCATTTATTGCACACGAGGAAGGGGATCACGTGGCACACTTCTGAACTGTTGCGAGCTTTCGTCGCAAGCATGTCTATTTGCTTCACTTCCATGGGCTCAACAGTTTTTCAGCTATCTGGGCTACCTATCGGTGGCCTTCTTTCAAAAGTTGCCGCATGCATCACCCTGGGGGGACAGGAGCGTCGATGGAAAAGAAGTGTCGCACGCAGGATTGCCCAAGGCTTTGGCACCCACCAGCCATGGAACGATACAGTACTTCATCTTCGATTCACAGATGATGTGGTTCTCATTAGCAAGGTGTTTTGCAGGCACTGTCTTGCTCATCTCCTGAGGCTCATCTACTCCGTGGATTTTGATGTGTGTGAGCATTCCCCACGTCTCGCATGGTTGGACATGTGCATTGACCTTGATTCATGCCAGTGGGCCTCAACTGCAAAAGCTCCTAGCCTCCTCCGCATTGGAGTGCCCCAAGACATTTCTTGCGGTCAATTTTGCTTGGAAGATTCAGCAGATGGCGGGCTATTGACCCGCCAGCACAAGAGTGGCAGCGAGCATGTTTGCTACTGTTGCATGACTTACGTCAAGCATCATGGCCGAGTTCGCGCGTTTTGTCTGCATTGTCTTCCATCAACAACATTCAGTTTATTCCGTTCGTTGAATTCGCAAAAGTTGCTTGGAAACAACTTTGCAGCAAATGATTACGCTCTGCCGAGGGTTCCGGTTCAGGTTACTCGACGTAGCGAGCTTTGCCCCACGGAGTGCTACTCGTGCAATGGTGCCTTTGGTGCTTCGCGTGCTACTAGGGCTTGCCCCTTGCCTGTGCTCGGCAGGCTGGGGCCACGGCAGAAGCACTTACTGGAGCCGCTCGTACCCGAAGCACGAGCAGTCCAACTACGGCAAAGGCTGCAGACAGTACACAAACTCTGGAAGTGGCAAAGGAGGCTACGGAGGGTACGGCCATGGCAACAGCATGGCCGAAGCAGTGTCATTTCTGGCAGATGCTCTGGGCACGTCAACAAGCCGCCGGAGCCATCGAGGGCGTTCTTCCTCAGGTTCCCGCTCCCGTTCTTCCAGTCGTAAGTGTCGCAAGGCATCCTCTTCTGCCACGCGAAAAGAATTGGAGGAGCTCAAGCGTTACAGAGAGGAAGAAGCCGCTAGGAAGGCGGCCGAGCAGAAAAAAGCAGAAAAGGAGGCTAACGAGTTGCGCAGTTGCGCTTCAGAGAGCTTGAAGAGCGTCTCTTGTCTGCGATTCCGGGGCCACCTGCTGCCAAGACTCAGACCAGTGCCCCCAAGAGCTGTTCTGGAGCCGCAGGCCACAATGGGCCACAAGTGCCCATGTCCAGCTTAGCTGCAAAACTCATCGAGGTTCTGACAGACAAGCACGTCTGCAGCAAGGATTTCTCTTCTTGGGATGAGCTAGAGCACTTGTTGGCGGCTCTCGACACGCAGGCACTCGGAGACATTCTGGTCAGCCACTCTGAACCTCGCGTGGCAAGCCCCAGCGTGTCTCGAAGGTCATGGAATTTTTGGTCAGAGAGTGCTCCGCGTGAGCCTGGGATATAGTTTCTCAGGCACCGACACGCCCTAGCTTCAAAAGCCAATTAGTCGCCGGTGGCTCTGGCAACTTGGACGTGAAATGTTCAGTTCAGCTATGTGCCGCTTTCTGCTTTGGCTTCATGGCGGGGGCTGCCCTCTGCCCTGATCCGGACTCTTTTGGTGCTTTCTCATGGGTCATCGCGTACGGGAGGGCCGTACGTACCATCGCATGGGATTGCAGTGCGTTTTCCCAGTGGCTGCAGCAAGCTAGCGGGTGCCAGATTTATTCAGCTTCCAGCTGCATTCTTTTCCTGGGTTTGGGGTTCTCTGGGAAGATTGCGCAGGTGGCCATCGCAAACTGGCTCTTGCCAGAAGCTGCAGCGCAAAGATCATTGCCACCCCTAAAGCAGACTTGAACAAACTCTGGGGCGGGTTTTGACACTTTCCTTGCAAGTGATGACTGTGTCGTCTGCGCAGTTTGAGTGCAGGGGATGTGTCAGAGCTGCCGAGCTGCTCCCGAGTGAAGTCTTGGAGCGATGATCTTTCAAACTGACGTTTCTCATGATTCGAATGAACCAGCGAGCGAATCAACCTGTGCACTAGTGTTCATGAGCGCTGTGTGCAGAAGTGCATTCCGCAGCTCCTTGTCGCTTAGGCCGGCGCTTAAGCCCGAAAGCGGGCGCACATAGCTATGGGTGCAGGGAGTCCGAAGCAGACGCCATGCATTCTGAGTCTGCTTTGCTTTGAACTTGTATAGGTTCGAGCAGGGTTGGCTGCTCGTCGAAGTTTTGCTGCAGCTGCAGGCGTCAATCCGTGAAAACAAAAATCCACCCTGCGGCGACACTTGTGTCACTCGACGGCCCCAGCGCCTACGACACGATTTCGCGCACTGCGTTTTTGAGCAAGCTGCATGCCGTCGCCCCGGGACTCATTCCGTTCGTGCTGGTATGGGCAGCCGTCCACATACTTTTGGTGGGACGCTGGTGGGCGGCGTGCCATCCATCAGGGCGACGGGTGCGAACAAAGGGACACGAATTGGGTCTACCTTGTCACGACGCCGGCACGCGCACGTGAGGCGCTTGATGTCGTGACTTTTTGCATCGAGACCCAGGCGGGCGTCGCCCCGAACCCCGGGCACAACCGTGATGTGGCGGGCCTGCTCCTCCTGTGGCAACGCCGAGCTCGGGGCCGACGTCTGGCGTTGCAACGCACCTGCGGTGGAGCGCGGGTTCGTCGCGCTGACCGCCTGTTGCGCACCCTCCCGCCCGACCATCCCGAGGTCGCTGCAGCACGCCGTCTCGCGTCGCTGCCTGCTCGTTTGGGAGGCCTGGGCTTGCAGTGCGCCGAGCGTACCGCCCCCGCTGCTTATTGGGCCGCCTGGGCTGACACACTGCCCCAGGTGCATCGCTGAACTCGCTGCAGGTCCGGCTGCTGCTGCCGCCTGCTGCCTGCTGCCGCTGAGGCGGGCTGCCTACTCGATGGTGCCGGATGGCAAGGCCGCCCTTCCTGGCACGATATCCAGGCAGGCCTAGGCAGGCAGGATTAAGCAGGCAGGCCTAAGCAGACAGGCATGGAGGCCTAGGCAGGCAGGCAGGCAGGCAGGCAGGCAGGCCTAAGCAGGCCAGGCCTAAGCAGGCCAGGCCTAGGCAGGCCGGTTTAGGCAGAGGCCTGGGCAAGCCGCGTGGCTCAGTGCCGTCCCGAACGAGGCTTGCTCCGCTGTGCCGCCCGACCGCATGCTCATAGCCTTGCGGCTGCCTTTGCCTGTCGCTCCACACCGATGTGACGCATACGGGCACAGTTGCGGAACCGCTGTCGACGCCAACGGCGACCACTACGCCGCCTGCCCTCTACTCGCCCGCCGAGCCAAGCCCCTCGAGCATGCATGGGTGCGCATCGCGCGCGAGGCTCCGAGGGCCAGGTGGTCCCGCAGCATGGGTTGGAACGTCCGCCCCCAACGTCGACCCAGCCGATCGCCGCCGCCTTGGCCTAGTAGTGTACGGCGCTACTCCGCTTGGCGAGGCGTTGTGCTGCAAGGTCACGCTTGCCTCTGGCCGAGTCGCGACATCTCGTCACACAACTCTTGCGACTCCGAGCCCAGGGCGCTCCTGCCGCCCTGCGCCCTGCGGCTAGACAGGGTTGGCTGCGCCGCTGGTGGGGCTTCTTGAGCATGGTTCTGCAAAGCACAGGTGCTGCCACGCTGCTCGGAGCGCCGGACATCGCGGGCGCCTTGCCCGGCGCACAGCACCCGCCGCTGAAGAAACGTGCTGCACGATGCAGTCCCTCCCACCCCCAGTCTTTTGGGCCTGTAGTGCGCAGGTTGCACGGGGACCTGGACTTTTCCTGCGGACATCACAAATGTGCCGGAAAAAAACTACCCTTGTTGCCATTCTGTTTGTTTGTGGTTAGACACCATCCCCGTAAGAAGGAGCGGCACTTATTGGCCTGCAATGATACACAGACTGCCCATTGCAGACATCGTCTGTGTGAGGTATTCTAAGGTTTGTACGAGCATGCATTTGGCAGAGGTTTTTTGATATCATCATGGTGCAGAGTTTGATAGTGTTGAAGTTTTGACCAACGTTACTGTCGTGTGCAGGCTTTGGAGCGTCATGGAGGCCTTCGAGCAGTCGTTATGCAGTTGTTGATGCTGTGTGCCCGTCGACAGCAAAAGCTTTGTTATGAACAGTTTTTCGTGACAGGTGGAAGTTTCATACAGATTTTAGTGCGACTTTGTCCCTTTGGCAGTTGGTCCCGTGGACAACGAGATGTTGGAAGCCGTGGCGTGTCAGGCGGAGTGGGTTTCAGCTTCATAATCATATTGGGAAGCTATCCATACTCAGCTGGCGCTGAGGCTTGCGAGGTGCTGGAAGCTCACGAGGGCACGGGCACCAGCACTCAAAGCATTACAGAGGTGCCTTTGATGTTCGTGTCCATGCCATTCCATGCCATTGCAGTTGCTCGTGCGCATGTTTTTTTCGCCTGCCGATTTGGCGGCCCAAGCGTAACTGTGCAGCCCGCACGACGGCGAACATGAGCTTTCGTTTCATTTGGCGAAACGGCTTGCTTCGGGCATGTCATAACCAGCAACACCAAGAATAAGGAGCAAACACAGCATCCACCAGCTCCAGTTTGTCGATGGCCTGCCCCGCGATATGGTGGAAAACTTAGATGGGAGGCCCGCTGTGCACACCACATTGTCGAAGGCAGTCCATCAACCACATGGTTGCCGAGACACCCGTTTGAAGTGCTATTACAAATATATGGGTAGGTCATGCCTGCATTCAGGAAACATTGGCTTCTGCGGCCGTAGCGACGTCGAGAAATGCAGGCCCCGGTGCAGCCAGACGTCCAAAGGCACAACGAATAACAAGTAGGCAAGGGCTCCCGGCTCGTGGCGCTGATCTTCGGCTGTTATCCTTTTCATTTACCGTAGTGGCAAGTCGGTTCCAGGTCGTTGGATTGCAAGCCGCGGGAACATCCAGATGCTGCAGGACATGCACAGTTCTGCAAGTATTGCTTGTGTTTTCTCATCCGGAGTTGAGATGCTGGATGCTTGCTATCCGCCGGTGTTGTGGAGGAGCTCCCCCGGCAGGCGCTATATTCGCAGAGACCCTAGCCGGGTTGAACGAGGCGCGCATCACTGTATCATGTATGGTGACTTTGTTTGGCGTTGTGCATCTTCAAGTAAAAACTATTCGCATGATTTCGCAGCTTGCACATGGGTAAACTGGTTGTGTTGCAGCATAACACAGAAGCGGTTGCGCAAATATCTGCACATCTCTTCATGTTCGAATGAGTATATCCTTCTCGCACATGCCATCATGTCACAGGCTCTAGAATGACCGGACTGGTTTCCAACGGAAGATTCCCTTGTCGTGCAGCCGGGTACTGACCATTGCTTGCACGGCCTGTCCCACAACGCGACCATTCGTGCACGAATGCTTGTGAGCAGGGATGCGAAGAGAAAACGCAGACTGCTGTGACTATGATTGGCTACGTTGGCAAGCTTGAAGTTTGAAGCTTGCGCGTCGTAGCACCCTGCTGTTCGCAGGTAGATCAGCAGCTACTGCTGTTCTGCTCGAAGGGGCAGTCGGCCGCTGTTCGGTGGCTTTTGCGATTCGGGGCGGATGCTGGTGCGAGAGATTGTTGCTTGCCCCACCCAGGGAATCGAGACGACAAATGACTCTACGAATCTTATGTTATGGTCAGGCGTTTCGAACACAAGAGGTTGTTACTTTCCCCCACATTGGGCTTTTACACGACCCGCACGTTGTCACGCCCAACTTAGAGCGTTTGCTTCTTCAAGTGCCTTCGGATTAAGTAAGCAAGGTGGCACACAACCCCATAACCCCATAATATCGCTTTTCTCGTCTCCAGTCACCTTACCCCCGAAGACCCGCAAACCCGCACCCGGAACCCGGGTCCCGGGTCCCGGATCCAAAGTTCCGGATCCGGGTTCCGGGAATCCCGGTCTAGCAAGAAGCAATAACAAGCCCCAGCAGCAACAACAACAACAACAGCAACGACAACATCAACAACATCAGCATCAGCATCAACAGCAACAGCGACAGCCACAGCCACAGCCACAGCCACAGCCACAGCCACAGCAACAGCAACAGCAACAGCAACATCAACATCACCATTAACAACAACAGCACCAACGACGCCAACGACAACGACAACGACAACGACAACGACAACGATAACAACAACAACAACAACAACAACAACAACAACAACAACATCGACAACGACAACGACAACGACAACGACAACGACAACGACAACGACAACGACAACGACAACGACAGCGACAGCGACAGCGACAGCGACAGCGACAGCGACAGCGACAGCGACAGCGACAGCGACGGCGCCGGC